ACCGCCAATGAAGATCGGTACCTCCGCATCTTTCATCTACGCAATCGTTTCGTCACTGTGACGTCATCGGCAGCCGCAGCCTTACATCATGTGGTCAGCAGAAGGACAGTTGCCAGGCGTCTTCGACAACACGGTATTCGGGCCTACTGGCCCTTATGCGGGATGACCTTGAGCCGTCGTGACCGACGTAACCGCCTCCATTGGGCAAGAATGGTACAGCGGTGGCAAAACAGGAACTGGCAACGAATTCATTTCTGATGAAAGCAGGTTCCAGGTGTATCGAGCTGATGGCCGTGTGCGTGTGTATCGTCGGAGAGGAGAGAGAACAGTCCATTGTTGTGTTCAGGAGCCCGTGCCATTCGGTGGTGGAAGCATCATGGTCTGGGGTGGGATTTACAGGGACCGTACAGCAGACCTCGTTGTCTTTGACCGTAATTTAAATGCTCAAGTCTACATCGACCATGTATTGCGTCCTGTGGTGCTTCCCTTCCCCCAGAGGAATCCCAGAGTAATCTTCCAACAGGACGACGCTCGCCCCCACACCGCCAGGATCACCAGAGACATCCTAACTGCAATTAATGTAAACCTTTTGCTATGGCCAGTAAGATCGCCTTACTTAACACCCATTGAGAACTTGTGGGACTATCTGCACAGACAAATAAGGGAAAGAAATCCCCCTCCACCAAGTCGTTAAACGTTGATTCAGGCATTGTTGGAGTGAGTGAGTGAGTTAATATTTAACGTCACATCGGCAATATTTCAGCCATATCGTGACGAGAATTAATACATTTATAACAAATAAGTATATATAATTTATAAAAAACCTGTCAGCAAAGGACAGTACAATAACTAGAATATCACAGAGTGTATTAAAACTAGTTGAGGAACATGTAAAAGCAGAAAGAATTAACAACACAATATAAAAATGGGCTAGAGATCGTCAGTAACTAAAGGGAGAACACCATACCAGGGACCATGGGGACTTACAGAGGCACTGTTGGAAGAATGGCGAGCCAACCCCAATGACGTCATCAGGGATCTTGTAAACTCCGTGCGGCGACGTGTCCGAGCCTGTATTCAGAGCAATGGAGGCCATACAAGATACTGACAGTAATGCATTTATAAAAAAATGCGTTTTCTGTTTTCGTTCAGATGATTTGTTTATTTTGCAAATTGACATTTACCCCCTGTGTCATTCCTTACCTGATATTGAGGTTCATGTAAACGCCACCTTTGTGTCATTAGAATCAGAACATTTTCAGATAAATTATCTTTCCAACTCGCAACACTATATTTTTGTGATATATTTGATAATGTTGTCAACACCAAATCAGTGTTGGTATAGTTTCTTTTGCCCGTCAGTTTATTCTCGCCCATGGGCCACACTTCGCCCATGGGCGACATAGTGTAAATATTGAGTTTTTTAACAATTTGTTTTTCATTTTTTATTCCTTGGTATGTTCCCAGGAAAACAGCATGTTTAATTTTGTAAATACCTTTGACCGAGACTGGGCAAAGACTGTAGAGTTTCTGCACTTTTTGTTTTCAGAATTAAAATGGGACGTGTTTAGTATACATAAGTGTTTGTGAAGGTTCTAGTTTCTTCTCTTTAGCCAATGTCAGATGGCATTATTCGTTTAAATGAGTGCAATATTTAGAACAAGTGGTTGAGAGTTTCTTCCAATGCCGCGTTGACCACTCTTTAAGTTGTATCCTAGCATGCTGGATTGATCTGGAAATAAAAGCGACAAAACCCGTTCCAAAATCTAAAAAAAAATCAGTCCACTATTATATTCCGTATGTATCATAAGTACGAGTTTATGAATCACTATATATCGAATAGTGATGATACGAGGTGTTCGCGGATTTGCGATCAAACAACTTTTGAAAACCAGAAACCAGTATTTGCACCATATCTAGTAACCCGTTCAGATCGAAAACTTAATCGAGTATAACGGTTATTTGTTTGTGTTTAAGAAATTAATTGTGTCTAGGCATAAGTGATTTCGATTATGCTACTGCCTGTATCTTGCCGAGCATTTTGAGAAGGAATGTTAGCTTTGGTGCAATTATAACTGTCACAAAGACAACATGACATAAGTTACCCATAATAACACCATACATGACAATGTGTGCCGCTTGTCTACATAGTTGAATATATAGGAGTAGCCACCTGCTTTATATCACTTGACAAATTTATCTAGGAACATAGGTCGATATGGACACATGCCTCCCTTTTCCAACATGTGTCGGACCTGTTTTGTATTCAGGCCCTCGCCTTCCCTTTGGGCAGTTACTGACCTGGCCCGTTTCATTAAACTATGTTAGCGCTAAGGTGATCGTAACTCCCACACTTTAACATGGGCCTACGACAGTCGCAGCGCTAAGATCGCTTTGTGCGACTGGGTCCTGTTGTTCTGCGTTTCATGTCGGTTGTACCGTTGTTTACTCGCTTGTACCGAAATACAGGTATCTTGTAAAATGGTACATGCGTATTGTATTATGGAACAGATGTGTGGTAACATGATGCAGGTGTGTTGTAACATGGTATTATTTGTTTGTTGTTTAACGCTGCTTTCACAATAGTCGGCTATATGACGTCGACCTGTAAATAATCTTGTTAACCAGACAATTCAGTGTCTGACATCATGAGCATCGATCTAATCACTTGGGTTACGATGACATGCAGCACCCAAGTAGTGTAGTGCATGTGTGTTGTGTTGTAGTGCACGTGTGCTGTATTGTAATACATGTACATATATGTTGCATTGTACAACAGGTGTGCCGTACCGTGGTGCAGGTATGTTGTGTTTTTAGCAGATTTGTCTTGTATCTTGGAACATATTTATCATATATAGGTATGTTGTATGATAGTACACGTGTTGTATTGTGGTACAGGTGTGCTGTACTGTGATCAAGGTGTGTTGTTCCGTGGTACAAGTGTGTTGAGTTGTAGTAGTGCCTTGTATCTTGGAACATTTTTATCATATATAGGTATGTTGTATGGTAGTATACGTGTTGTATTGTGGTCCAGGTGTGTTATACCATGGTACAGGTGTTTTATAGTGACATATATGTCGTGAGACAGGTGTACTGTGTTATGGTATATGTGTTCTTTACAGTTGTACATATATGTGTATCGTGGTACGTGTAAGTTGTATTGTAGTACAGATGGTTGTATTATAGACTCTCAAAAATGAAATAGAATATAAATATAGCAAACATATCAACTATTTTATTGACGACATGTGTTGGAGTGAACAACAGTTATGGCACCTGCCACGCAGGTGGTCTAAAATGTTTGAAAGCTGGTGACTTTGATATTGACCAGAAAGAGAGCTTATCATATTGTTTCCTCGAAGTAAATATATTTGTTGTCAATGTTTAGCTTTATCTCGTCACGGCATGGCTGAGATATTGCCGATGTGACGTTAAATCTTAACTCACTCACTCTAATTCACTCACTCACTCACTCAATAAATGATTGATAATAGATGGATAATTAATAAACATCATTTAATTTAAGCAAAGAGTGGTGGCTTGTGGGATGTCTGAGCCTATTTAAGTATCATTCCGTCTCTTTATGACTAAAATATAAATTATAACTCACTGATGGTCACTTTAAATATTCGTGGATCACGAAGATACATGTTGCATGGTTCTGTCGTTATTTACGAAGTGTGATCATGTTGTTTCCTATTACAAATGATTATTTTTTTTGACACATGTATGTGATTGTAGTGCATGTAGCTTGATGACTTTGGTTGAACATATGTAAAGAAGCTGTTATCAGACTGCATTCTTATCACCGCATATCATGCATGTAGGGACACATCACAAGCTCTAGCTTTACTGTCCTATAGTGACATATCATGGCGATTTAGTCAGGTGTGACATATGTCGCTGTTATGAACACTATCATGTTTACAACGTACTCGTTACTGACGTTCTAGATTGCTTCACTGTTGAACATGGCGGCGGCCATATCAGGCGGTCTATTGCTGTGAACCTCTTTCGTGATATCAAAGTTATTTCATGTGTATTGAACACTCCGGCTGATAATAGATTGTTAATGTGTTCATTTTGTTAAAGCATTGTGTTTGAAGCCATGAATTTGTTTAGAGACATAATGTAATATATGTTTACTTTATCTATTGAGTTCAGTGTTTGTGTTCGTGTAGATATGAGGCCGTTCAAAAATAAACGACAAAATCCTTTCCATCGCCACACGAAATCTCGATTGTCGATTGTACGATTCCATCTATATCATGAGAATGTGTTTATGAATCACTATCAAATAGTGATGGTATCAGGTCGGGTTATCATGTTTCATTTTAGCTGGTCAAACATCGGTTTTGGCAAAAACAAGTACGTTTCACGAAGTATTTTTCTCCATTACATCGCACGATATGACTTACATACCCTAGAATTTGAGATGTTAAAGTCTTATATATTAATGCAATTCAGAAATATGTTTCCTACATAACTCTCGTGTGTTTAACCCAACGTTTTTTCATAGAAATATTGCTATATGACAGTTGTTGTATTTTTAGTTATACCACTAATTCGAAGCTACATTACTTCCTGGTGTTGTGTCTCTGAAATGTCATATATGGAATGCCATTCAGGAGGCCTTTCTTTAACGTGTAGTGGCCTCAGTTAGGCAAAGGTGTAAGGCCTCAATCAATGCACAAGGTGGACACCTGACTATCTGGACCTGCCTCTGAACCTCTCGTGTGACATGATTCATTTTGAATATGACAGGAGCCCTCTTTGTTTTTGCTTTTGAGTATATTATGTCCTTTATATTATATCACAATAGTGGTGAATTTAAGAAGGACACCGTCGATAGCAGGTCACATATATTTTTTTTATATTAACACAGAAATAGATTTTGCCAGGCTAGTGATAACTGTATAAAATGTTACAGACTGCACCATCTAGACGTGTGTACACGAAACGGATGTTTATGTGTTTTACGACAAGGTTTATGTTTTCAGCCATTCGAAAGACTTGAAGAACAAATTAAACAAAACGACATGGCCCACGCTGAACCGAAGGGAACTATTGAAAAGGAAAGAACTGAAAAGCAGAATGAGGATAATGAGGCTCGTAAGCTGACAGTTAGTTTTTATTCGCAATATAAGCATTGACCACATGGTCGTCGTAATACAACTGGACAAGTGTGGAATGTGCCGTTAAGCAACAAAGCAACAAACACACACACATTGACCACATAATGTATTAACTTGAGATACAATTAGTTCCAACATATTTACGGTAACACATGCTATGTAAAGTCAGGAATTTTTATCTTTGCAATTTGCTCATTAGAGCTACGAATAAAAACTAAGTTTAACTCTCAGTTTGAGATTGATTAGGTAGTACGTACAGTCAAACCTCGTTATCTCGAACCCCATCATCTCCCATGTACAGATATCTCGAACTAACTAAAGAATTGCCTACCTTTATCTCGAAGTTGGCATTTGCCACATTAACAGTTTTGAGTAATTTAAACCAATTATTCAACTAATTATGTACTTATATTGTAGGCCCGTGAAGATGCCACGGTAGAATAAGTCTTCAGCAACCCATTCTTGCCGTAAAATTGACTATGCTTGTCGTAAAAGGCAACTAACGGGATCGGGTGGTCAGGCTCGCTGACTTGGTTGATACATATCATCCATCCCAATTGCGTGGATCGATGCTCATGATATTAATCACTGGATTGTCTGGTCCAGACTCGATTATTTTACAGACCGCCGTCATATAGCTGGAATATTGCTGAGTGCGGCGTTAAACAACAAACCAAACAAAACAAAACCAAAAACTTATATTGTAATTCAATTGTAATGGTAATCTTAACTGACAAACAAAACATCCTGAATAGACACGAGGAAAATCATGACATCACTTCCTGAAAAAGCCACTTTACGCTACTCACAATATCCAAAGAAGAATCAAGCTTGAACTGAGAGGGGCACTTTGTTGTTTGTGGGCAGACTAAATAGTGACTGTTGCTATGCCTAATAAGATACATGTTATCAACGAGGAAGTCCAGCATTTCCCGTATTGTTTTCTCAGTAAACTTCAGATGGCATTTGCTTTCATTTTTGACAAATTGCCCTGAACCTCTGAGTATAGGTACTTAGCTGTATCTGATCACCATGTTTTGTATCAAAAGCCCATGCATCAAGGAATGAAAATTGTCCTTAAATTTGTCACGTTGGATAGTGAGGTACAAAGTGGAACTTGGTTCTTTTCTGAGATTGCATAAAGTCAAGAAAAAAAATTGGATTTTGAAGAATCCATATGGTATTAATTCCACTTGTCACAAACACTTTCTGTGAATATAAATAAAGTCCTTCCTTGATTGTATTGATTGGAGGATTATGGTTATTGTGTTCCAATTGTTTTTTCATGAGCATCAATCCCCGCATTTAAATACAATGACATGCATCAATCAAACTAGCGATCATGACCACCCGATCCTTTTGTCGCCTCCAGCAGAGAAATCGGCCCTGCTAGGTTGGAGATAATGGGGTCCGACTGAATGTGTTTTTGTAAGTTTGAAGAGACAAATCATGAAGAAGTTGGTTCAAATAAAATGGTTAGCGAGAATCATGACACTTCACATGTCGTCCATACTTCAGCAGTGTCAATAAAAGACAACGAGGAGCCCAACGCTGTCACTGGTGTACGGCAAAAGAAATCTGAAGACAATCTCAAGAAGAAGCTTCCAGAGGATGACACAGACCAGAAAGCTGTGGAAGATGTTGCCGACAAATTTGCTGGCCTCGCCGTGGATACAGATTCACAGTCTACTTTAAAAGGTAAATACAATCAAAAACGTGTAAATTCAAAATAATACTCAGGGCACATTGACTAGTACCTCATTCGACATAAGAGGTTTGCTTAAATGTCTCAATCAACTTAATTGATGATGCATACACATAAAAGAGCATTTAATCCCGAGAGGGGTCGGGTAGCCTAGTGGTTAAAGCGGTCGCTCATCACGTCACGCAGAAGACCTGGGTTTGATTACCGACATGGGTACAATGTGTGAAGCCCATTTCTGGTGTCCCCCGCCGTTATATTGCTGGAATATTGGTAAAAGTGGCGTAAAATCAAACTCACTCACTCGCTATTCACCAAATATTTTTGTAGCACTGATCCACACAGTGTGACTCAAGTGCCTTATGAGAATATACATTGTAAAGAGACCATTATTTACTACTAAATATTGGATCTATACTTCTCTTCATGTCTCCTCCTAAGAGAACAAGACACCAACACGATAAAAAGAATAATTTGAATTCAAGTATTGCTTGAATCATGAGTATAATATTTCTTCTAGGAACCCATATACACATATACATACGGAAAAAAGAGATTGTGCTCCTTTATAAAGCTCACTAAAATATATATCTATTCTGAAATTATATAACGTAACTTTCACTCCATATTCATGAATACATCTCCTCGACTTTAAGGCATGTACATGCGTTTCTAATACTCACACACGTGTTTTCCTTTTTATGTAAACAGCACACAATGGTTCTTTTACTATCAGGTGCTCCTGAAACACTTGCGTTAAACTGTAAATAATGCTCATACAATGTCACGGCTTGCTGAAAATAAACGTCATCGCGCCGTGGTTATGCTGCAAACAGGAATAGCGAGAAAAGAACTTTCCAGACATTTTATTGTTCATCGAAATACATCATCTCCTTGGAGACGTTATCTACAGCAGGACAACACTCATGACTTGAGTGTTGCAAGTCATGAGTGTTTTTTGTGAATCTATGGAATCGATACCAAACTACTACATGAACTTTTTGGACAATTCCTGGTTTGAGACCATTTTTTGGCAGAATATATGCGACCAGTAGAGGGACCACAACACCCGGCCCCTATGTCCCGCGATACGACCAATTTTGCTCGCACGTCTCCGTCAGGCACGCCTTGCTTGGTGTAGACAGCATCTGGGGTTCAGAAGACAAGATAGGGACAGTATACTGCTCACGTATAAGTCCAGGTTTCATCTGGACATCCCTGATGGGGTCTCCAGGCTTCCAGCAGAACGTTTGGGCGAAGCCTGCGGTACTGAACGTCGTCAGTTTGGGGTTGAAGTGTAATGGTATGGGGTGGCATCAAAACTTATAGGAGAACACATCTCATCATGTCAATTTGAAAAGCGTACGCTACCTGGACGACAACACTCGATATCATGTTCTACACTTCAAATGCAGGGACGTAACGTCAGTGTGCAGTGGATAATGCCCACCAACACGTTGCACGTGTTAAAACAGACGTTTTGAGGTAACATAACATTGCTGTACTGCATGGCCGACAGTTTCACCCGACCTCTCTCCCATAGAACATGTCCATGATGAGATAGAGCAATACCTACATCAGGACCAGAGCAAGCCGGTAACGCTAGCTCAAATGGTCCAATCTCTGAGTGACAATTAGAACATCTCCGAGGCTATCCGGTGCCTCGCCTCTATCAACGCAAATGGTGGTCACGCCCAATATTGGCATTGTTAATTGAGTTCTTCACCATCCCTCTTTAAGAGCGTACCACTGTCCCCTGTTACCCAGTATGGGTTTTGTTAATGCATTTGTAATGATAAAACATTGATCAGACTAATGACCATATATTATGTTGTTATTTTTAATAACATAACATTTACACCACGTTATATTGATCACAGTTACTTTTTGACGCTTGTATATACTGTTGGCTCCAACGGTTATCTTTGATACATGTGTTTCAGCTACGCCGCCCAGTCCGGATCCGGCACCAGCTGTCCCTCCTCAGGATTCTGTGCCTATTGTGCCCAATGCATTGGTCGTGAATGCGCACTCCCTATGCAGAAAGAAGTGGATCCTACAGCGTCGTCTTGATGATGATCTCAACTGGGCGCACGTCATTCTGGTGTCCGAGACGTGGTACAAGGATAATCATACTGAAAGGAACATAACTGGGTACAAAGGTTTCTTTCAAGATCGAGATAACGATGTATCAGGGAGGGAAAGAGGAGGGGGTGTGGCGATCTATCTGTCAGATGCGTGCTGTACTGATGCAGAATTGGTATACGGAGTCGCCACTGAGTTTACCGAGGCGTTAGGGGTGACCTTCATGTTCAGAGACGTGAGATGGTTGGCGGTGTACCCCTCAGGAGTGATGTCTGGATAAGGGAACAATCGGATTGGAACAACAATTTCATTACGTTGGCACGACAAAGAGCTGGAAGAATAGATTTGAGCCAGACCATTATAGCCGGTGGAGACCTGAATCACAGTAAAGTGACATTGCTTGGTTTCACCAACTACGTAAGAACCAGAACTCTAAGACGGGAAGGGGCAGCTGACACTGAATACATCCTCGACCTACTCTACACCAATAACGCCAGGGGTTGGGATTCGGTGAACACCTTGGAAGACGAGGAGACACACGAGCAGATCTCGGATCATTTCATTGTGAGGGCTTTCTCTCAAGATATATGAAAGTAATTCCGGAAGTGGGAGGAGTTCCAGCTAACAATTTCACGTTGTGACAACGTTTAGATAACGTTGTGTTTATGTTGTGGTAACGTCAGGGATATTACGTCCATATCACGTTATTCTGTGGATTCCCATTGTGGGAAACCACGTTGTCACAACGACATGGGCTAACATTGTGTAACGTCATATTCACGTCGTCATAACGTTTTATTTTACGTTGTAATAATGTTGTATTTTACGTTGTAGCAATGTTATAATATAACGTCCCTACGAAATTATTCTGTGGACTGCCATGAACGTTGTCACAACGACGTGAAATAACTGTGTAAGTAGGATGAAATACGTTGTGACAACATTAACTCATGACCATTCCCCGCGAAAATGGTGTAAAAACATCCCAAAACCATGTTCCGGAAATGTTTTTGAATATGCTTTAGTCACGTGTATGTGTTTATTTCGAAATACCCTTTACTAATGTTTTGAAAAGCCCAGTTAATAGTCAGGTCGTGTTTTGCTGACAATGTTTAAAACATAAAACAACACTGAGCTGTTAACCAGATACATTATGACACCATGACCCTTTAGGCTTACTGCAGGAAACAAAATAAGAAGGACAGACATTGTAAGGGGTTGACCATTGAATATTCTGGGGAGGGTTGGGGCCTGGAATTTATTCAAAAACATATATTGTCGCTGAAAATTCTTCACAAAAATGATTATGTTTCAGACTGGTGAAAAAAAAGTAATTGCCTGCCAGAAAAATGACAGTTGCAAGGTGCTTATCTTCAGGCTCATAGACTTAAATACAAATGCATATCTGGTTTTGAAGCTGTGACCGAAAATTATCTCCTCTCAACAGAAACGTTCCAGCCAACATAATTCACAGCCCAGGGTTTATTTGGTGTATTCCTCAATGGTCCAACATTCCTGCTTTTATCTCCTGGAATGCTCGTGTCCCATTTTCACCCATGCTGCAGCGAAAACAGCAGTTTTCCACATTCAACAAAGTCAAACTAGAACTATTTTTAATAAGCATAAATTAATAGCTAGTCTATACAAAACGATAACATATATTGTATAATTGTCTCAAAGTTACACTTTAAATGTAATATCAACATGTGGAACGTCGGATCGGAAATAACCCAGGCTACAGATATCAGATAAGTAACAAACTTATTAAGTGTTGGGTGAGTGGTTTGTTGTTTAACGCCGCACTCAGCAATATTCCAGCTATATGACGGCGGTCTGTAAATAATCGAGACTGGACCAGACAATCCAGTGATTGACATCATGAGCATCGACCAAGTTAGCGAGCCTGACCACCCGATCCCGTTATTCGCCTTATACCACAAGCATAGTCGCCTTTTACAGCAAGCATGGGTTGCTGAAGACCTATTCTACCCCGGAATCTTCACGGGTCCACATAACCAATGAATAATCATTTCTCAGCAAAAGCAGTACTTAGAATTAACACAATTTTGCTAGTCTGATTCGTTTATTTGTTTGTTATTTAAAGTAACACTTCTACCCTGGAATCTTCTGGGTCACTTATTGAGTGAGTACCACAATAAAATACACCTAACGTAATTTTGCGTCCATAGCATACTCCGTTCTGAAAAGAACAGATTATTGGCCAGACAAACCAGTGATTGGTATTATGAGCCACGTCCCACAACCTCGGCTGTAGTACAATGACACACAATCAGCCCTCATTTTGTAGCCCCTTAGCAGCTGTTAGTACGAACATAGATAATTGGGGACTTATTCTAAACCGGAATCCAAACGGGAATAGATATATTAAACAGGCATTGTAACTAAATACGACTCACATCTTCATCGCTGTGTTAGTTATAGCTACAGTACGATTTCGTAGAGAGCATTGAAAAATGTATTTGTTACTACATTTATTGAACATAGTATAGTTCCCATTATAACTTAGATGGATAGAATTAGGAGATAAACCGACTGTGTTTTGAAATTTGATGTACTCCGACTGTAGATATGATATCTCGTATTTTAATTTTGAACCGAGAGGGTTATCTCCTTTTTACCATGACGGCAACAACGCTTTGAAATCGGTGCTTTCTTGCAAACACCACTGGGTACAAAGGTCCGCAATCTTAGAACTGTTATAGTGCGCAAACTTGCTTAATAATTCACATCAAAATATAAAAATAATATTCAAAATTTATAAAATTAACTCACGTATCTTTACAGTCAAATCTCGGACATCTCACATAAATGGCAGTAACTCGCTTAGGTTGTAAAAGCATGCCGCGATACATAATTTAGACAATAGATGTCCGTTCACATTACAGTCACCGGCTGCGTGTCAATTCCAGATTGACACGCTGACCAATAACGGTAATCCCCCTTGACAAGTCGGTTGTCAGTCTAAAATGCCGACGGCTGAACTAAACGCCAGCCTTTGTTTTTTGTTTTTTTTATTACCTTTATCCACTATAGGTAGACATTAGTTAGGTAATCTATGAGAATAGTGTATCAACCCGGAACAACACATGAAAAAACAAAGGAAGTAATGGTGACAATAAATTAAAATAATGTTTTCAAAACTAAACCAATCAGAGTTTGCTATGCGTCCCTCCACTATATAAGTAGGTGCAGGTTGACTACCAAAACCGTGTGCGAAATACGCATCAGTCAGAAAGCGCACGTTAAATCTCCAAAGTAAGTAAGTTAGTTGACTACCAAACACATTAAATGGCCTGACCGGGCCCGTGTGCGAAATACGCATCAGTCCGAAAGCGCACGTTAAATCTCCAAAGTAAGTAAGTAAGTAAGACTACCAAGTCGATCTCGGCTTGGACACAGCATCGTGCACACGTGTCCTTCCCCACTCTCCAGCTCATTAGCCATAATGAGAGACATCGCTATGTCACTACCGAGGGAGCTTGTCTCCATCCTGGAGCCTTTGTTGGCTTACCGGGTTGGGGACTACTCCCTCAAGACTTCCTACAAGTCTAACACTTCGACGATCTCCATCTCCTTCGACCTAGGTCAAAGGAAGAGGCCCCTGGTCAAGGCTCAGGCCAAGACCAAACCTCAGGTTGCACGCTCCCGGCTCCAGCTCCTACTGCACCCCGCCCGGCGCAGAAGGACAGGCCCCCACGGGAACAGAAGACCCCTCCTCCAGTCCTCGACATGGAGATACAGGCTTCCCTCCCGACCAACCACCACCACCACCGCATCAACAGAGTCTCAGACCACGGAGCCTGTCCTAAACGACTCCGGCGTCCAGACCACAGCACCACAACCCACCTCCCTCAGCGAAGCTCAGACCCAGACCGCCCCGGTCGAGGCCCCCCCCCCTCAGGTCAAGAGCTTCAGGGATGTCCTAGTGGAAAAATCAGATATCCTGATCAACCACTACAAGACTCGCCCGGAACTCCGTGCTGAGCTCGTCTCCACCACCAGGGACAAGCTCTACGCCAAGAAAGGAGTTCCGTTCGCCATGGTGCACACATGCGGAGGCCAGGAGATCGAGTACCATATAACAAGTTTCACAGACTTGTACCACTTTTTCAAAAGTAACAGTGCTCCATCTTCCGAGCACTTCATCGCGAACACCGCCGCCCTCCTTGCCAAGAGTCTCTACCAGAATCCCAACCCCAAGGAAGAGAAGCTGACCAAGAGACTCCTGCAAGGACACCGCCGCTAGATTTCTAGCCACACGCTCGCCAGCCACGCCTTGCCTTCCCACGCTTGACCCCCCTCCCCTCCAACCCAAGCCCAATCTTTCAATATTATTGTTTATTCTTTTACCACCCAGTCCCACCCAGCCAAACCCCCACCCACTTAGCTTTATTAGATTAGACTGTAAAATCTTACATTTTGGGGGGTTGCACTTCTTTATTCATTCTTTGCGCTGTTTTTCCCCACTAGTATAAGTGCAACCCCGTGTGCGAAATACGCTTTGTCCGGAAAGCGCACGTTAAATCTCCAATGGAAGAAGAAGAAAACTACCAAGTCACACTGCACCTGAATAAATCTTGGAACGCTAGCAACTGTGATGTCATCATTTATTCTCAATTTTTCCATTCTATTTTAAGGTAAGACATTTTCATGCGTTGTTTCAATGGTTGTTTTCATTCATGTTGAATGTGTATTATGATTATTGTCTCAGATTGTTTTAATTGTTGTTTTCAAATATGTTGAATGTATTTCATGATTATTGTCTAAGATTTCTTGAACATTGTATATTTTCAACAACATGCGTTGGTTCATTGTTAAGTTATTGTTTAATGTATTTTGAATCTTCAATAACGATTAGGAATGTTTTCAAAGCGCACTATGCCACTATAGGTATCACTTATGAAGGTTGTAATCACTTATGTAGGTTGTAGTAATTTCGATCAATAAAATATGAAATTAATTATTCCTGATCAACATCTTGATAACCGTTTGATAAATAAGAAATCAAGTACAAGTATCAACAAAATCGTATAGTAAAATATGTCATGTCGTCAATATGTGTAGATTCATTGCTAGCAGTAATGCTTGACTTAGTTAATAGTCAGTCAGCTTTGTTCTTGATAGGAAATGAAATACCTGTAACTTGATGTTAATAGTTGAATGCACAATTCTCGTAGCGCGAAACTGCATTACCGTAATATATCTATAAATACGTCTATCATTAATGTTGCATTACAGTAAACTACGGTTATAACGAACACGCTTATAACGAACTAACGGATATAACGAACTAACATTTTAGTCCCGACTATATGCTGTAGTTATGCTGTATGTATGCTTATAACGAATTACGGTTATAACGAACTAAAATTAGTAGTCCCTTTGAGTTCGTTATAACCGTAGTTTACTGTATTTCAGCTGACATTGGTATTGTGAATCATTATGTGTTGTATTTGTATGTGCCGTTATTTAAAGTTCCATCCTGATCTATTTGTGTATAATGCAACGGTGATTATTTGATATGTTATAAGATTGAAGCGAAATGCTTATTGATTTATATTCTGAGTAATTATGTCATAAGAAACCACGACGTTATGACAATTATTTGTAATGATATAATTTATGATTATTAGATATGATTATGTGATTAATTGAATTGAAATGTTTATTACACACTGCACCTGAATAAATCTTGGAACGCTAGCAACACTGATGTTATCATTTATTCTCAATTCTTCCATTCTATTTTAAGGAAAAATTACCGTGAGACAACACGGTCTCAGAACATTCCGAAAAGTGTTCACAGGTAGTCATATATGTAAGAAATATTACTAAAGTTCACGATTAAAAATCTAATTGTCTTAAGTAGTTCAAAATAAGTGTTCCAAAGACATAGCTTTTCAAAATGAAGTTGACAAATTACCCTCCAAACTTGGGTGTGACAGAACTTGACGTTACTCACACCTCACAACTCGTAATGGCTGACGTTTTTGTTGTTTTCATTGACTCGGACAATTAAGTTACATGAAGCAGGATGACAACCCCGATCTATGATGTGGTTCACCATTAACCTGCAGATTTACGGGGAATGAGCCTGCTGGTACAATGTGATTACCAGTGGAACTGGAGTGTGACTGAACAACCGCTTTTGGGGCTTAAGACGAGCCGGCTATATATGTTGACACGAGGAATCAGCATGGTTTGTCATGTCAATTTCGTGGTTCTCAGATTCAAAGCCATCGTGTGATAGCAATGAGAGAGTTGTGGCACAGATATTTACTTAATTGTACGTGTTCTGAAATAAATTTCATCAAGTTTGACTTCAGTGATGTCGGGACTTTGTTTTCGTGGCCTTTCGAATGGATGAGTGTTTTCTGATGGACTTTCAAATCCCCTTTTGCCAAATCCGTACGATTGTGGTTGACGGAGATCGATCACGAAAAGGTTTTTAACAACATGTTGTCATGAATAAAGTTTTTTCAAACAATTATTATAATGTTATATTTTACTCTCATTGTCAGTTGTTTCAGTGAGTGAGTGAGTTGGGTTTATCGCCGCTTTTAACAGTATTCCAGTTATATCGCGGCGTGTCAGCTTAATGTGGGAGGAAAGCCCGAAGTGATGCAGATCTCAGACGTTTACCACTTCGGTGAAACCC